TGTATATACTGTAAAACTAATTTTCATTTTCTTTATTTTGAAATTCTAAAAGTTTGCTTAAAATTGCAATCTCATTCGGAAGAAAATACAGCTACAGTAGTGATGGTACACTTCAATCCCCCCCCATCAATGAGTCCAACCTAACCTCCTCCATCAACATCTAGTAACCTACTGCCACCACCTGGGATTAAAGCACACTGGGTTTAAAACTGTTATCTATCTCACATGCACTTACTCTGATCAGCTGACACAACTTTGTCATTTGGTCTCCCAGACTTTTCAGGATCATCCAGTATTAGCTCCTTATTAACTTGTTGGGCACTACCTTCAGGTGCTGCTTCATTTGGCCCAGTGAATTTCTCCCTGAGCTTAGCAACTCTACAACTTTGTTCCTCATCCATATTTTCCTCAGGACCTGCGAAACAGAAAAAAACAATCTAGTTAGACAAGACTTTGAATTGACACTATCATGGCCAGGGTAAATCTCATTAAAACACCTGCTTTCTGTTTTTTAACAACAGACTTAAATAACTGTAGTAATGATTCAAAGTCTGGTTTACACAGAGTACTTCCAAACATATCTAAGAAAGATCAGTTTCCATTGTGTGGGACTGCTTTAAAGCATTATCCCTGTTCCCCAAAAACCAAAGAAACACAGGATGAAATGACTTTAGACCAGTTACCCTGACCACATGGCTAATAAAGTCCAACAAGTCTATAAAGGATGAAGGAATCACGTCTCCTCATTAGGAACTGCTGCACCTGGACTCCCCATGAACCTTTCCTACGATCCGGTATGTGGACTTCATCTCTGCCATCAATACCATCATCCCAGCCCTGCAGCAGGACAGGGTCTCCCAGCTAACTATGACTGACTCCACCTCCAGGTGGATCACAGACTTCCTGACAGACAGCAAGTAGCATGTGAAGCTGCGATAATAGATCTCTGATTCCTGGACCATCAGCTGTGGTTACCCTCCAGGCTACGTTCTTCCCCATTGCTCTATTTCCCGTACCCCAACAGCTGCACCTCCAGTCACCAGTTTGCCAAGTGGTGCGAGACTAACCACCTGGTAACCTGCTGCAGCCAGAACAGTCTGAGCTCAATGGTTTGAAAACACTAAAGATGATTGTGTACTTTAGAAATGGTCCAGTCCCACCCTACTCTTGCATCATGTGTGACTCTCCAGTTGCTACTGTGACTCCTTCTGCTCCCAGAGCATCATCATTGCTCAGGACCTCAAGTGGAGAT